AGGCTGAGGCAGGCTGATGCTGAGGCCGAGGCTGAAGGCAGATTGAGGCTGAGGCTGAAGCAGGCTGAGGCTGAGGCAGAGGCAGGCTGAGGCTGAGGCTGAGGCAGGCTGATGCTGAGGCAGGCTGAGGCTGAGGCTGAGGCTGATGCAGGCTGAGGCCGAGGCAGCCTGAGGCTGAGGCCGAGGCTGAAGGCAGGATGAGGCTGAGGCTGAAGCAGGCTGAGGCTGAGGGCTGAATGCTGAGGCTGAGGTTAGGCAGGCTGAGGCAGAGGCTGACAGAAGCAGGCTGAGGTCTTAGGCTGAGGCAGCTGAGGCTGAGGCAGGCTGATTCCGAGGCAGGCTGAAGCAGGCTGAAGCTGAGCAGGCTGAGGCTGGAGCAGGCTGAGGCGAGGCCGAGGCCTGAGGCCGAGGCCGAGGCCGAGGCCGAGGCTGAAGGCAAAACTGAGGCTGAGGCTGAGGCTGAGGCTCAGGCAGGCTGAGGCTGAGGCTGAGGCAAACCGAGGCTGAGGCTGAGGCAGGCTGAGGCTGAGGCAGGCTGATGCTGAGGCAGGCTGAGGCTGAGGCTGAGGCAGTCTGAGGCTGAGGCAGGCTGAGGCTGAGTCTGAGGCTGAGGCTGAGGCTGAGGCAGGCTGAGGCTGAGGCTGAGGCAGGCTGAGGCAGGCTGAGGCTGAGGCAGGCTGAGGCTGAGGCAGGCTGAGGCTGAGGCTGAGGCTGATGCAGGCTGAGGCTGAGGCAGGCTGAGGCCGAAGGCCGACGGCAGACTGAGGCTGAAGCAGGCTGATGCTGAGGCTGAGGCAGGCTGAGGCTGACGCTGAGGCAGGCTGATGCTGAGGAAGGCTGAGGCTGAGGTTGAGGCTGATGCAGGGTGAGGCTGAGGCAGGCTGAGGCTGAGGCCGAGGCTGGAGGCAGACTGATGCTGAGGCTGAAGCAGGCTAAGGCTGAGGCTGAGGCAGGCTGAGGCTGAGGCAGGCTGAGGCTGAGGTCGAGGCAGGCTGAGGCTGAGGCTGTGACTGCGACTGCCTCTGCCGCTGCGACTGTCATCGCGAATGCGTTTGCGACTGCGAGAACAGCAGAGTTCTACAACTGGATTATCATCTGAATCTTAAGGGGAATGCTTACAGATATGCTCCTACACATCGCTGTTAGGTTGTTTTGCCGGGATAATATTCAGGAATCGCGCTCTCGCGTGGGGCTTCCTTACAATGTATGTAGGAATCGCTCTCCCGGCGCTCTGGAGTCGCGCTCTCGCTGGAGACCTGCTTGCAACTTACTGAAGAATGGCCTTGCGTTGGAATTTCCTGCAATTTGCCCAAGCGCCGCGCTCCCGACACCCAGGTACCCAGGAGTCGCGCCCGTTGTGGCCCATGTGCATGCCCTTCGTGGCCCCGCTGTCGCCATTTGTGTCCCCCTCACTGTCCTACGTGGCCCAGTTGCTACCCTCAGTGGCCCCATAGTTGCCTTCTGTGGCCCCGCATTATCTGCACTTCGTGGCCCCCGCTCGTTCGCGCTCTTCGTGCCCCATACGCATTCCCTTCGTGTCCCCGCTGTCGCCCTTCGTGGCCTACTTCGTGCCCTTCGTGGCCCTGCTGTCGTTCTCTCTCGCTCTCGCTTTCGCTCGTCGTCGCCGTCGTCGTCGTCGTCCGTCGTCTCGTCTTCGACGTCGTCGTCGTCGTCGTCGTCGTCGTCGTCGTCGTCGTGGTCGGTCCCCTGTCCGTCCCTCTTGGGGTCGGGTCGACGGTCCGCGGCCGCCCCGCCGATCAGCGCTGCCGCTGGCCAGGCAGAAGGTCCGCGGCCGCCCCGCCGCTTGCCGGGGCCCGGCCTGCAGGGAAGAAAGGTATACCCCCAAAAGGGGTTCGATCGAAGACGACGAGGGCGGGTATCGAGGGTTTGGGGAACACGCGTTATTGGACACTCGAGCATATAAGGGCGAACAGTCTTACACATATTGTTGTTGTTGTTGCTGCTGTTGTTGTTGTTGTTGGTCATATTGTTGTTGTTGTTGCTGCTGCTGCTGGTGTTGTTGTTGTTGTTGGTGTTGTTGTTGTTGTTGCTGTTGTTGTTGTTGTTGTTGGTGTTGTTGTTGTTGTTGGTGTTGTTGTTGTTGTTGTTGTTGTTGTTGTTGTTGTTGTTGTTGTTGTTGTTGTTGTTATATATATATATATATATATATATAGGATTATTCCCTAGTTGTCACCCCCCTTTGGCCCCCTAAAGATGGCCCTCTTCGGGCGCTGGCGCCCGTCTGGCTGGACGGCACCAACCAGACCCTGCGACGGGCTCGACGCTGTGGAAGCGTACGCTTCGCAAGAAGGCCTCCACAGCACTCCTGGCTGGCTCCGCCTGGGCCGACGCGACCCGGCTCGCGGCCAGCTCAGCCTGGGCCGACGTCCCAGCGTGGTTGAACACGGGCATCTCCTCGTCCTCCACTCCTCTTCACTCCTCGCTCTCCCGCTACCGCTCCTCGCTCACAGCCGAAACCGGTCAAACAACGGCGACAGAACCGGTGAAAAAACGGCGTCGGAACCGGCAACAAAAACGGCAGAACGGAACCGGTAAAAAATCGGCCCTGTCGTTTCCAGGGCCCACTGAGTGCAGCACTTTCGAGGATTGAGGGCCGTGCCTTTTTAACACGTGGCTCTCGCCTTACCGCCGCGCGCCTTCGTCTTTTGAAAGTCTGCCGCGGCTTCGAGGATGGAGGGCGGCTCCTCTTCAGAGTGTGGCTCGCGCTGCAACGTGACGCGCACTTCGCCCTGTGAGCGTGCAGCCGTTCCGAGGAAGCGTATGCTCGACATCCCAGGGATGGGATTACAGTCGGGGCGTTGACCTAAGGAACGATAAATGAGGAACGAGGCCCCTCTTTCCAATATATGAAACTCAGCTTTTCCATGGCAAACCTCAGTATAACATAGGAAACCCCGAGGAGCACTGTAAAGGGTTTCTTCTTCAGGGGCCCTAGGAACATAGGAGCACCCCGAGGAACATAAGGAACACGGGGCCCCTCCCCAACAAAAAGGGTTCCTTCTTCAGGGCCCCGACTGTATGATACGATTGCGAACTGTCATAAGGCAACAGCAGCGCTGACTCGCGGTGTTGAGTCCCAGGAGTTGCTTTCAGGCACGGATTAGGACTGTCAGGACGCAACAGTCACGCTGCTCCGCGGCGATGACGTCTCAGGAGCTGCGTACTGGCACGATGGATGACGCTCGCGCAGAGCAGCTGTCTCCTAATGGGCCACTTCCCACCGTGGGAGTAATTCTTATCGTGAAGTCATAAAGCGGAACTGGCAGGGAGGGTTCATTGCACCATCGTTGACGCGTCTTAGCTCTAGTTTGAAGTCGGGCCTGTCCCCCTATAGGCCGATTTTAAACGAAAAGGTACAGAGTAGTCAAGCAATACCTTAAAACATGCAAACAATGATCAAGAACTCGTCCCCGGACTATGTTTGGACTAGTTGTGCATATTCCCCCTGTAGAGGGACGGGCCTAACTTAGCTTTAGGTACACTGGTCCTCCTCGTCCTCCTTGTGCCTCGTCTTGGAGCCCCCTGGGCCCTCGCACTGCTCATGGTTGTGGATGCCATGACAAATGACACTCTAACAATCCTATCATTGAACAAACAATGTGCTTGAAGTGTATGAAAACATGTTCTAACAGTGTTCTAAACATGCTTACAGCATGTTTAATACAGACATCTGGAACTTATTTGGCAACGTGCTTCCTCTCCATCCCCAGACTATGCTTGGACGATGTTTGGATATTCCCCCTGTAGAGGGACGGGCCCAACTTAACTTGAGTTTGCACTGGTCCTCCTCCTCCTCCTCCTCCTCCTCGTGCCTCGTCTTGGAGCCCCCTGGGCCCTCGCACTGCTCATGGTTCTGGATGCCATGACACTTGACACTCTCAAAGTCCTATCATTGAACAAACCATGTGTTTGAAATGTGTAAAACATGTTCTAAAGGTGTTCTACACATGCTTACATCATGTTAAATATATGTTTGAAACATATGGAACTTATTTGGCAACGTGCTTCCTCTCCGTCCTCAGACTATGCTTGGACGATGTTTGGATATTCCCCCTGTAGAGGGACGGGCCCAACTTAACTTGAGTTTGCACTGGTCCTCCTCCTCCTCCTCCTCGTGCCTCGTCTTGGAGCCCCCTGGGCCCTCGCACTGCTCATGGTTCTGGATGCCATGACACTTGACACTCTCAAAGTCCTATCATTGAACAAACCATGTGTTTGAAATGTGTAAAACATGTTCTAAAGGTGTTCTACACATGCTTACATCATGTTAAATATATGTTTGAAACGTATGGAACTTATTTGGCAACGTGCTTCCTCTCCGTCCTCAGACTATGTTTGGACGATGTTTGAATATTCCCCCTGTAGAGGGACAGGCCCAACTTAACTTGAGTTTACACTGGTCCTCCTCCTCCTCCTCGTGCCTCGTCTTGGAGCCCCCCTGGGCCCTCGCACTGCTTATGGTTGTGGATGCCATGACAAGTGACACTCTCACGATCCGATCATTGAACAAACACTGTGTTTGAAATGTGTGAAACCTGTTCTGAAGTGTTCTAAACATGCTTACGGCATGTTTAATCCATGTTCTAGACATCTGGGAATGATTTGTCAACATGCTTCCTCTCCGTCCCCAGACTATTTTTAGACGATGTTTGAATATTCCCCCTGTAGAGTGACAGGCCCAACTTAACTTTGAGTTTACACTGGTCCGCCTCCTCCTCCTCGTGCCTCGTCTTGGAGCCCCCTATAGACCCTCGCACTGCGCAATGGCGCGAGGCGATGCACCAGCGATGCACCGGCGATACATCGTCGAGGTGGGCGATGCATCGGCAACGTCGACGTGAAGCACATCGGGCTCCGCATCGAGAAGCATCGGCGATGCATCGGCGATGCGGTGCGATCCTCCGACCCCATCCACTCGGACCCCATCTAGGAGGCCTAGATGATCGTCCTCCACAAGCTCATGGCGCGAGGGCAGGGGCGCCTGGCTTGGAACACTGGGCGGGCTGGCCGGCCGCCCGGACGCCAATGGCGCTGCAGCTCCAGAGGCCGCCCTCCTGGCGGGGGAGGGGCCCAGCCCCCTGGCGAGGATCGAGAAGTGCAGATTGTTTTTTCGCAATGAAAAATAAACAATGCATAAAACACATAAATGTATATAATAAAATACATACAACAAACATAACATATACAATAAAACAGAGCACATATAAATAAAACATGAAACACATGAAGCAACCACATAAAACATATATAGATGTGTGTATGAACAAAAAAGCACAACAAAACAATTCGGAAGCCTCCAAGGGCCTCTGGAGCCCAAGGCCCCCAGAGAAACACCCCTGCAGGTGTCCGCCCGCTCCGGGCTCCAGGGGCCGTGTCTCTGGGCCACTGGGCCGTCAGGGAGCGGCCCGGGATGAACCGCCAGTCTCGAGGAATGGGTTGACAGGTCTAGGGGCCGAACCCTCTGAAAAAGTGTGTCGTTGGAGGTCTGGGTGGGTGGGTGGGTGGGGGGGGGGGGAGGGCAAAGTGAGGGATGGGAAGGAGGCAGGTTCGAAGGGGACGCGTGCGTTTTCGATCTACTTTCCGTCAGGGGCCACACCTTGCTCTCCAGACGGGTTGGGAGCGCTATTTCCCCTCGCAGAGGGCGGAGGCGGAATTATCAGCCCAACAACAACATAAATTCGAAAGGCGCTCTCGATGAACTGCAATCCTGCTGTGGGGCCCTCGTCGCCACTGCTGGATCCACCGCGGAATGCTTGTGGAAGCGAGATCTGGGAGGGCTCTGGAGATGGATTCTGAGGTCAGCGGCTCTTTCCTCCTACGAAGTCAGGCGCAAGATACGAACGCAATCGGGCACGAGTGCACAGGGGACCGCTGAGAGCCAGCGAGGCCACAGATTTTGCGCACGCAAGCTTCAAATCACGACGTCGGCTCTCTTCGGAGCGGCGAACGCAAGAAGCACGAGTCGGGGATCTACTGACCCGGGTCAGTCCAGACCCGGGTCAGTCAGGCTCTGGAGGATCCTGCAAAGTCCTGCAAGATCCTGCAGGATCCTGCACCCAAGCCCGGGTCAGTGCGCTCCTGGCTCGGCAAGGTCCTGCAAGATCCGGCGCTCCGACGGACCCGCGTTTGCATGGACCCCCGTCGCTTGAGCCCCGACACGAGGGCCCCCAGATCTGGCCGAAGGCAGCGCGTCCTCCTTGCTCCCTTTCCTGCTCGTCCTCCTCCTCCTCCTCCTCCTGCTCTTGCTGCTGCTGCTGCTGCTGCTCCTCCTCCTCCTCCTCATGATCCTCCTCGTAGTCCTCCTCCTCCTCCTCCTCCTCCTCCTCCTCCTCCTCCTCCTCCTCCTCCCTCCTCCTCCTCTTCCTCCTCCTCCCTCCTCCTCCTCCTCCTCCTCCCTCCCTCCTCCCTCCTCCCCTCCTCCCTCCTCCTCCTCCTCCTCCTCCTCTCCTCCTCCTCCTCCTCCTCCCTCCTCCTCCTCCCCTCCTCCTCCTCCTCGTCCTCCTCCTCCTCCTCCTCCTCCTCCTCCTCCTCCTCCTCCTCCATGCTGCTCTTCCACCCCGGGCCAAGTTATGACGGCCCCGCCAAGCACGACACGCGGCGCCCCCAAAGAAAGACGGAGGGCACACTGCCGGGCCTGCGCAAAAACCGGCAGGGCCTGGAAGAAAATCCGAACGGATGTCCACAGCCGCGAGGCGAACGGTCCACGTCTGGGGAACCGACGTACGGGGAACCCGCGCGAGGCGGCAGATGCGGATGCATGTGACCTTCCGGGGGCCCAGATGTGTCCCCATCCTCCGCCAGCCGAGGTCCACGGAGATCGGCTTCCCAGACGGTGGATATGTACATGTGGCCGCCTCGAAGCAGCGCGCGCGCGCGCCCCCCGCGGGCGCGACCGCACACGAGCGGCGCGCGCTGGCCGCCTGGCGCTGAGCGCGCGCCCGCCCCCCGGCGGTGCGCGACGGCGGCGGAGCGCGGCGCCCTGCAGGGGCGCCGCGTGCTCTGCGTGTGCTCTGGCGGCTGGCCGGTGGCGCGCGCTCTGGCCGCGCCGAACTCCGCCGCCGTGCACCTCCACGAGCGGAGCGGCGGGCCCGCCGCCGAGGTCGCCGCCCACCGAGCTCCTCCCGCTTCCTCGACGGTCGAAGTAGCGCGTCGCGCGCTGCCTCCTCCTGCTCCTGCTCCTCCTGCTCCTCCTCCTTCTCCTCCTCCTCCTCCTCCTCCTCCTCCTCTACGTCCTCCTCCTCCTCTACGTCCTCCTCCTCATCATCCTTCTCCTCCGCCTCCTCCATTTCCATCTCCTCTTCCTCATCCTCCTCATCCTCTTCCTCCTCCTCCTCCTCCTCCTCCTCCTCCTCCTCCTCCTCCTCCTCCTCCTCCCCTCCTCCTCTACGTCCCTCCTCCTCCTCCTTCTCCTCCTCCTCCTCCTCCATTTCCATCTCCTCTTCCTCCTCCTCCTCCTCCTCCTCCTCCTCCTCCTGCTCCCCCCCCGCTAGTGCCCTTTCCCCCATGTCGGCGACACGCAAAAGTGGCCCCAAGTTAAGAAGTTGCTGTTGCTGGTCGCGTCTGCCGATCGGTGCGTGCGACGCGTCAGCGGCGGGCTGCGCTTTGGCACTAGCGCCCCCTCCCTCCCAGCCCCTTGAAGGCCGCGCACAAAACAAGGTCACTCTGGCGAAGGGCCACCTTTTACCCGCAGCGAGCCTTTGCCTTCTCTGCTGTCCGCCCCTGGCGTGCGTCCGAAGACGAAGCTAGGACGAGGATGAAAACATCGAGCGCGGATATATCGAGACGAGAATCTCTGAGATCTGGCGGCTCTGGAGGATATCTCCGGCGCCGTGGCCTTCTCAAAGCGTTCCGAAATACTCTGAGAGCGCCACCGAACGCTCTGGAACAGATTTCTCCTCGTCCTGGCCGCGTCCGACGTCCCCCTGTGCTGGTCCTCGTCTTTCAAGTCCGGGCCTGGCACGCAGTCGGCTTTGCACCTCGCGCGCGCCGGGCGGAGGAGTGCACGGTTAGGAGCGAGGATGAGGACGAGGTGCAAGCAGGGCAGGGGAGAGGAACACATAGGATGGGGAAGAGGGGACGGAGGGAGGATGAAGAAAGAGGGAGAGAAGGAAGAGAGGGGGGAGGGGCGGAGGAAGGGGAGGGATGCGGACTAGGAAGAGGAGGAGGAGGAGGAGGCCGAGGGCCTGAATAAACCCAAGATGCATCAACGACGGTGCAGTATACCCTCCCGTCCCTCCCGTCAACGATCCTCCTCTCAGAAATCCCTGTGAGCCTTCCTGTCACATTTGTGGCAGGCAAGCGCCCTGTGGGCCGGCCATGCCAGCGGAAGCCCCGCGCGGGGAACGGGCCAAGTCCCCGCATCCTGCCAGTGGGCGGCACGGAATGAAACGAAGGCCGTGTCGTGCAGGCGAGCGGAGTGTCGAGCGGGACCCCCGTTCTGAAAGAAGGCCGCTCCCATCCTCCTCCTCCTCCTCCTCCTCCTCCTCCTCCTCCTCCTCCTCCTCTGGGCGCGCCGAAGAACTCCTAGAGGGAAAAACCCAAGATGGAAGTGCAGGCGCCCTCCGCCCGTGCAGCGGCAAGCTCCTCCCCCGGCTTGCCAATCCAACGAAATCCCAGACGACCGCCCCATCTTGAAAAGGGGCCACTCGTTTGCCCGTGCAGCTGCTACATCTCATCATCATCATTATCACCACCATCATCGTCATCATGATCAACATCATCATCATCATCAGCATCATCATCATCATCGTCATCATCATCATCCGGAGCGCCCCGGATCGGCGGCACTGGCCGGAGGCCATTCCAATCAAACGAAATCCCAGACGACCGCCCAATCTTGAAAAGGGGCCACTCGTTTGCCCGTGCAGCTGCCACATCTGATCCAGTCTCTTGCACTTGCATGTGTACATGCCTTCGACCAAACACCGAAGCTTCCACAGGGACAGAGGGAGGACGAAGAGAGAGGGAGCGAAGCGAAGGAAGAAAGGGGGGAGGGGCGGAGGAAGGGGAGGGAGGCGGATTAGGAAGAGGAGGAGGAGGAGGCCGAGGGCCTACATGTACACATGCCTTCGACAAACACCGAAATTTCAACAGGAGGCGCTCAGCATCCCCGCAACCGGTCCGAGCTTGCGCGACGAATGTGCGCGGCTGTGGGCCGAGAGCTCCGTTTCGAAAGCGGCCCGCCCTCGATCCTTAAACGGGCTGCAGAAGTTTAGGACGATCATGCGGGGCACTGAGGCAAGAGCCCAAGTTTGAGCAGGTGTTTGTTTACCAGCCTGGAGCATATGTCCCTATCCCTATGTTGGGCATCGCCTCATTACGATGGCGATCTTAGGGACTTCCTCAGTTTCTGAAGGTGCATCACTAAGATTGTCATCTCCTTTTAGCGTGTCAATCTTAAGGATAGGGATAAGTTCGAGGCTGGTGATTATTTGTTCATCTGCAGCACAGGGTGCCGGCCTGCATACTAAGATGAAAGCTGAGCGGAGCCGCTGTGCCGAGGCACCCGCTGCGGTCCTACCTGGAGCTCCGTCCGGGGTGCGATCAGGTGTGAGGTCGTGGCAAAGTTCGCGCGGGGACACCGCGCGAACGCCCCCACCGAGGGCTCTTTTTGGGCCGCGATCCGTGTGAGAACAATCGTACGCCGCAGCGCCGAAGCAACGTCCAGCAGTTGCAATCAGTGGTGGTAGCAATCCATGCTGGGTTTCGTGGCGGAAACGCGTGGAACGAGGATGGTGGGACGAGGGACGCGGGAGGAGTGAGAAGACGCGCAGTACTGCTGATCGCCCAACACACAGGACGGCTGGGACACACTCCCTCCTCCTCTCCATCTTTGTCCTCCTGCGTATCGCTTCCATCATCCCGTTGGGGCCCACCATCTGTCCTCCACGGCTTCTCATGGGCTTTGGACCGTCCTGCGTTCGGCGGGGCGTTCCGGGTAGGGGGACGCGGAGGAGAAATCTTTCAGGGTCTCTCCAAGCTTTCGGGTGTGACTGGAAGTTTCTGGGGGTCCCCGAGGTGGACACCTCTTCCTCCGACTCGTCGAGGTGCGCCTCCCACGCCGCGTTTGATCCACAACTGCTAAGGGGCACAGGGCATGATTTACAGTAGGGGCCCGATCACAAGAAATCGCCCACAAGAAACCCAACCCTGAGACCCCAGAACGTCCGCTGTTTTTTGGTGTGGGAACGAACGTCGCGCTTTCCGTCGCAAAACCATCGGAACTCAAGAAAGCTTCGACACCCTGGAGGCAAGCATGATGTTTCCTGGCCTGGGTCTCCACTGTAGCGCAAAAGGAACAAGTCCTGGAGAAATAGAGCCCTGGGAGTTCTTCGAAGCTGTCGGACCCCCTTCTTCGGGCCCCAGGGCAGCCGAACGACTGCATGAAAAACTGGCAGTGGCTCAACCGCGCCAAACGCGTCGAAGCAACCTTGTTGCCACTCAGCAAACTAATCACCTGCATAGGTCATGCGGTTCCCCAAGGCAATCACCCTGAATGGCAGTGGTAACGGCTGAGCAGACCAATGCTGTTCCAAGGAAGGAATCTACTAAAGCGTTCCACTCTTCAAGCTGCAGCGCCACTTCATGTACTTTCTTTTGTTTCTCGGGGCAAAATGGCCCCAAACTCATCTCGTGCGAACGTGTCCCACTAACCGCAGAACGCTACTTGTACATAGGCCTTCAAGCCACCTCCTGCATGCAGACCCTTACGTTTTCCCTGTGGCCCTGTTCCATCCCATGCGTCATTATTTAAACAAAAAAACCTCCGTCCAACTTGGCAGAATCGTCGTCGCCTAACTCAGATTCACCCTTTTCGTCACGTGCCTGTATCTTACTGCCCGACACTTAAGTGCACCCGCTCAGTGTCAACCTCCCACTCATGATCCGTATGCGATCTTCCTCTTCGTCATCGGGTCAGACTGTACTGCGCCGGAAATCTCGAACATGTTGCTCCAATTGCTTGAGAAGGCTTTCCGGTAAGCGTGCTTCACCTGGGCGCGTGCAGTCAATAGTTTCTCGCTCATCTCCCCGAACTTCATCCTGCAACTTGAAAACGTTATTCATATGTTGAACAACTTTGTGCTCGCTCACGGGCGCGTTCCCGCCTCTATTTGACATGGCGCTTCCAGACTGTATTGCGCCGGAGATCTCGAGCTTGTTGCTCCAATAATTGCTTGAGAAGGCTCTCCAGTAAGCGTGCTTCACCTGGGCGCGTGCAGTCAATAGTTTCTCGCTCATCTCCCCGAACTTGATCCTGCAACTTGAGAGCGTGATTCACCTGCTGAACAAGTGTGTACTCGCTCACGGGCTCGTTCCCGCCTCTACTTGACATGGCGCTTCCAGATAGTATTGCGCCAGAGACCTTGGTAACATGCTCAGTGGTGTCCGTTTGATGCTGCAACTATTCCTCACATGTTCGTTCAAATCGTTGAACTGTTCCTCGCAGTCGATGTTGCGGTTAATGGCTGAGTTCACGGCAGCAGTCATGTTGTAGCAAATCAGCAGAATGGCGAATGCTTTATCGTTGCCAACGATCCTGGTGCCCTGTGTAACCTTGTGCTCGGAGAGTAAGCTCATGCCTTCGTAATTTCCTTTGCGCGCCGTGCTAACATACCGAATGTCTCCAACTGGCAATGCGCCATTCCGTGAACCGGCTCGTGCTATAACGATACCATGCCTCCCGAGCTTCGGGCAACGTTGCATCGAAACCTGGGGAGGCTGCGCCAAGGTTCGCTGGTCCCGCTGCAACTGCCGCTGCGGCCATTGTTGGAAGGGAAATGCTTCGGGGAGCATGCCACGCGCACTGAAAGCCCTGTGGTGAATTAGTGGCAAAGCTACCATAAACATGCGGTAGGAGCCTTTTTGCCATCGAGGCGAAACGAACCTGTGCCAAACGCAACACTAGAATGGTCTCAAACCTGTACCAGACCAGTCTCACAAGCTGATCCTGCTCCCACAGTCGGAACGCTATAATCTAACAGTCCTCCCCATTCCCCCTCCTCCTCCTCCTCCTCCTCCTCCTCCTCCTCCTCCTCCTCCTCCTTCTCCTCCTCCCCCACGCAGGGGGGGGCCGCCTGCCGTGCGTCTGGTTCTTCGCATAGCACTGCAGGCCGGGGCCGTCGCAGCACCTGCGCCGAGCGCCGCCGCCAGCCGAGTGGGTTCACGCGCGGGCGGGGGCAGGGGGAGGAGGACGAGGACGAAAGGGGGGAAAAGGACGAGGAGGACGAGGAGGACGAGGAGGAGGAGGAGGAGGAGGACGAGAAGGACGAGAAGGAGGAGGAGGACGAGGAGGACGAGGGGGACGAGGAGGACGAGGAGGGGGAGGAGGAGGGGAGGAGGAGGAGGAGGACGAGGAGGAGGAGGAGTTGAGTTCAGTTCATCCCTCGACCAAACAAAGCGCGGTCATCGTCCTACTGACTTCGCTGGGCGGCATGCCTGTGTGAGGTTGCAGCTCGTCTACTCGCTGACGCTGGTGGCGACTCCACACGGAACCCCCTACGACCCGCATAGGGAGGAGAAGCCAGGGCGCGGGGACAGCATCCCACAAGTGATACCAAACAGCTTCACCAGGGGATCGTGCAGGTCAGGAAGAGGAGCGGGAGCGATGAAGGCATAGATAGGGGGGGGGCTCAAAAGCCACTCCCAGAGACCCAACATGCATCAGCGATGCTGCAATACACCTTCCCGTCCCAAGACTGCTCCTCACACGTCCCTGTAAAACCTTCCTCTTCGACAGCCAGAAAAGCCCCCCCTTGGAACAACGGCGCCGCATGGGCCTGCTCGCGCGAGCCTGACAGGAAGAGGCCTTGCATCCTTCCGGCGTCTCACGAGGAGTGCGGCCAGGCATGCTCATACAGTCCAGCGGAGTGTTGAACGACATCCCCTGCCTGAAGAAGGAACGCCTGCCAGCACTGTAACGTACTCTTCTGGTCAGACATTTCGCGCGGAACAAGAGCCGGCCTCCATCCGTGCAGCCGTGCCATCTGTTCAGGGCCATGGTCATTAGATGTCAGGAGTCCCAAGCGAAAACAATCCTCCAGACCTGTATCTGTTGGCCACTTTGCTAACGAATGCGCCCAGCGCTAAGGCGGGAGCCCAATCCTTGAAGCTGCTACAAACGTTTAAAGCGAACGCGCGCGGCGCTGAGGCGGGCGTGCACCCCGTCCATCTTTGAACCAGTCCTGGGACAGTTGCATGTGCGTTCAAAGAATTTGCGCGGAGCTAAGGCGAGAGACCCATTTCGAAAACTGCCCCCCTTTAATCCTTTTAGCTGGTGCGAAATGGTGCAAGAAATGTGGATTGCGCTAAAACGAGTTCCCCACTTTCAAAACCATACCCCTCCGTCCGTGTAACTGTTTCAAACTTCGACCTTCAGGCTTCAGGGTCATGACCTGTGAAGAAGTCTCAGGTGAATCGCCCAGCCCGACCTACGGACACGTCGAATCGACTGACGGCCTCGCAAAGCCACGGAGATAGAGGAGGAGGAGCAGAAGGCGAGGTAGAAATGGAAGGATAATTTGAAGTGGAGACAGGCGGCTGAAGAGGCCGTGGCAGGGTCAGGAAGATGAGGAGATTGAGGAGAAAAAGGGATGCTGACGAGGAGGGAGAACGAGGGGAGTGGAGGACGGGGGGAGGGTAAGGCAAAATGAGCAGTGGCAGCGCAGGCAGGGGAGGACGGAGAGATTGGGGAGGAATTGGGATAGCGCAGAGGACGACGACGAACTCGCGGACCACAACTACGATGGGCGATGGGGTGCGGGAAGGGAACGGGGGCTTCTGTAAAACGCACAGCACAAACGAATGAGCGCGCACGACCGGTGACCGCTGCGACGCGCCTGTCAAGGCGCAGCTCCCAGCGCTGCGGCACAAGATGCCTTCCAAACCCCACCCCCCCGACACCGACAGCTTGGACCGAACTCCCGCGTGGCTGGCGTCCGAACGCCCAGCCGACTGCAACTGCCTCTCCGCTGGCACTGAAGCCTCCAAACCACATCCCACATTCCGACCCGTTACCTCCCACGGAAGTTGAATCAAACGTAGGCGCCACGCGGGCTGCCTCACGAGTTTCACCGCCCGCCTGCTGCTACTCATTCTACTCCTGGCCGCCCCTCCACCTCCTCCTGTACACCTCCCACCGCCCCTCCGCCCTAATTAACAATCCGCCGCGGTGGCTGTAAGGCGCAATGGAATGCCTCGCGGCTCCTGCAGTTGAAAAGGCTGGGAGAAACAAACTGCAAGGTCCTGGCTGCAGGGCCTGGCCAGGACCCCCGACAGTGGAGCAGGGACCGACCGTCCCGGCATTCCTATAGTCCTACCACGACATGTTCTTAGAACTCAAAAATGCTTTTAGATGGTAAAGTTCTTAGAACCCACAAGTGTTCTTAGAACTACTAAGAACAGAAACGATGTTCTTAGATCATAAACCCGAAGTGATAAAACAAGACAGCCCCAACCAGACATGTTCGAAGAACATCTGGTGGGAACCCCAAAAAGGTCCTTAGAACATTGTTTGATAGGGCCATGGGCGAGCCAGGACGCTTCGCCACTGCTTGAAAATTGTAGCTTTCCTCTGGAAGGGGGGGCGAAACGGGGGGGGGGGGGGGGGCGACTGGCTTCCAGGGGGTGTGGGGGACCGCTCGAGGGGGGGAGGGGGGGACAGGCTCGGCAGCGACAGACCCTCCTCCCGCCTCCTCCTCCTCCTCCTCCTCCTCCTCCTCCTCCCTACTCTCCTCCTCCTCCTCCTCCGCCTCCTCCTCCTCCTCCTCCTCCTCCTCCTCCTCCTCCTCCTCCTCTTCTCCTCCTCCTCCTCCTCCCCCTCCCCCCCCCTCCTCCTCTCTCCTCCTCCCTCCTCCCTCCTCCCTCCTCCTCCCTCCTCTCCTCTTCCTCCTCCCTCCTCCTCCATCCTCCTCCTCTTCCCTCCTCCCTCCTCCCCCTCCCTCTCCGCCTCCTCCTCCTCCTCCTCCTCCTCCTCCTCCTCCTCGTCCTCTCCTCCTGCTCTCCTCCTCCTCCTCTCCTCCTCCTCCTCTTCCTCCATCCTCCCTCCTCCTCCTCCTCCTCCCTACTCCTCCTCCTTCTCCTCCTCTCCTCCTCCTCCTCTCCTCCTCCTCCTCCTCCTCCTCCTCCTCCTCCCTCCTCTCCTCCTCCTCCTCCTCCTCTCCTGCTCCTCCTCCTCCTCTTCCCTCCTCCTCCTCCTCCTCCTCCTCCTCCTCCTCCTCCTCCTCCCTTCCCCTCCCTCCCCCTCCTCTTGGTGGGGCTACAGGCACGCCAGGACCCTTTGCCGCTGCTCGAGACAGCGGCCTGCGATCGGGTCGATCCCGTGCGCAGGGCCCGAGAGCACCGGCGGGGGCTCCCCGTGCGAGCACCTGCAGGGCGCCTGCGGAGCCCCTGCGAGCAGGACGGCATGCCGTCGGGCCCAGCATTAAGTCGGGCCCGTCCCTCTACAGGAGGAGGAGGAGCAGGAGGAGGAGGAGGAGGAGAAGGAGGAGGAGGAGGAGGGGAGGAGGAGGAGGGCCTGTGCCTCTACAGAAGGAAGGTTCAAAAGTAGCTTCAAAAGATAGCCTGGGGGCGATGTTTTCTAGCCATTTCTGATTATTTTAGGGTACTTTTTGACCATCTTTTATTTTTCGTCCGAGATCCCCCTATAGGGGGACAGGCCCGACCTAACACCAGCATGTGGCAGGGGGGGGTCCAAACCTTCCCCCCCCCCCCCCCCACGTACGATCGTTACCCTTGCCGGGAGGAGGGACTTGGCCAAGGTAACAACAACAGTGAGGAGCACAATTATCCTGCTGGGAGGAAAGGGTTTGGAGGATCAAGGGCATGAGCAACAGCATCCGGATGCAACGAACGACACCTTCGGCCGCCTACGGGTAATGACACCCTCACTTCTCCCAACCCCATCCTCCCCACCCGATAGTTGTCTGCCTGGAACAGTAAATCGGGCCGGGCGAAAGGGGGGGATAGCCAAGGGGGGGGTGAGAATCAGCTCACGTAGCCGATGGCGCCGGGAGGCGCCCGTGCATCGAGGAATGGGCCCGGCGGCGGGGCCGAAACCGGCTGCGTGCAACAGACTTCGTAACCCCCCTTTCCCAATCCCCCCCGTTCGTCCGGCCCGAGTTGAGCGCCAGAGGCTTGCAAAAGACACCCCCCCCGATTGACTTCGGCGGTGGACAAACCTCCCTTTAGTGAAAACGGCCTGGGACCGAAACCGACGGACCTGGACCCGCAAAAATGACGGCCGCGACGCCCTCTCGCGAGCCGAAAACGGCCAATTCCTTAATCGGCGTGTCAGAGCAGGAGGTCTGTCCACCTCCGATTGACTCGAGCCTCTGAGGTGCGCCACGTGCTCGAGCGACTTGTCACAACGCTTTTGCCTCCGCCTTGGGTCCCAGGACAGGTGCCCAGAGGGTCCTTTCCGCCCAGCACTGCCCAGGGACACACAGACAGATACACACGAGTCCCAGGACTCCCTCCTCCTCCTCCTCCTCCTCCTCCTCCTCCTCCACCTCCTCCTCCTCCTCCTCCGCCTCCTCCCCCCTCCTCTCCTCCTCTCCACCTCCCCCTCCTTTCTCCTCCTCCTCCTCCTCCTCCCCCTCCTCCCCCTCTCCTCGCCTCCTCCACCTCCTCCTCCTCCCCCCCTCCCCCTCCTCCTCGCCTCCTCCTCCTCCTCCTGATCTTCCACGGCCTCCGTCTCCGCCCACTTCGTCGCCGACGTCGTGGTCCTGTTCAGGGTTGGCAGCACCGGCCGTCAGGCCTTCGCAATACATACACACCAGTCCCAGGGTTCCCCATATTATCAATGTTTGTTGGATGTTCGTCGTCCCCCCCCACACTTCCAATATTTTCGCATATGTTTTGGGCAACCGACAATTCATCGTGTCTGTGTGTTGTATTTTATCTCTTGAAACGCGACCGCCGTACCCCTCTCGGGGCTCCCCGGGGATCCCCAGAGGCGCCGCAGGCTGCAGGCCACCAGACACTCCTCAGCACCGCCCCATCACCCTCATCCCTGCAATCTCTCCTCCTCCCTCTCCCACGCCGTCGCCCCCCTCCCCATCCATCCGCTCCCTGCTCTGTCTCCTCCCCTCCTCTCCGTCCAAGCTTGCCTCCACCTTCCTGTCACAATCGCATGCACCCGTGCACCAGTCAATCAACCTAACATTCTTCAGGAGGGAAAAAACACAGACACAATTAATCGTCGACCCCCAGGAAGATCTGCAAAAATATGGCAGGTGGGGGGGAAGACAGAAATCCCAGAAATATGGGAAAATATGGGGAGTCCTTGAATTTCCCCATATCCTAAGATGGGGTTCTTGTTATTACTTGGACGCCTCCTACTGCCTCTCCCTCCTCCTCTTTCCTCCTCCCCTCCTCCTCTTTCCTCATACTCAGACCTACTCATACTCAGACTTACTCATACTCAGACTTACTCATACTCAGACCTACTCATACTCAGACTTACTCACACTCAGACATACTCATACACAGACTTACTCATACACAGACTTACTGACACCCAGACGTACTCATACACAGACTTACTCATACTCAGGCATACTCATACTCAGACCTACTCATACTCAGACTTACTCAACACACATCAGATTTGGAGGATGTCTCAGGCGGGGCGCTGGTTTCAGCACCCCTAAGGGGAGCCGCCAGGGGTGGTTGCACGGGCTCGTTCGCGGCCATTTTGTGGGGATGTCTCAGGCGGTTTGCTTGTTTCTGGGCCCAACATCCTTCGCTTGGAGAGCAGATTGTGAGGATGTCTCAAGCGGGGCGCTGGTTTCAGCACCCCTAAGGGGAGCCGCCAGGGGCGGTTGCACGGGCTCGTTCGCGGCCATTTTGTGGGGATGTCTCAGGCGGTTTGCTTGTTTCTGGGCTCAACATCCTTCGCTTGGAGAGCAGATTGTGAGGATGTCTCAGGCGGGGCGCTGGTTTCAGCACCCCTAAGGGGAGCCGCCAGGGGTGGTTGCACGGGCTCGTTCGCGGCCATTTTGTGGGGATGTCTCCGGCGGTTTGCTGTTTCTGGGCTCAACATCCTTCGCTTGGAGAGCAGATTGTGAGGATGTCTCAGGCGGGGCGCTGGTTTCAGCACCCCTAAGGGGAGCCGCCAGGGGTGGTTGCACGGGCTCGTTCGCGGCCATTTTGTGGGGATGTCTCAGGCGGTTTGCTTGTTTCTGGGCTCAACATCCTTCGCTTGGAGAGCAGATTGTGAGGATGTCTCAGGCGGGGCGCTGGTTTCAGCACCCCTAAGGGGAGCCGCCCGGGGTGGTTGCACGGGCTCGTTCGTTGCCATTTTGTGGGGATGTCTCCGGCGGTTTGCCTGTTTCCGGGCTCAACATCCTTCGCTTGGAGAGCAGATTGTGAGGATGTCTCAGGCGGGGCGCTGGTTTCAGCACCCCTAAGGGGAGCCGCCAGGGGTGGTTGCAGGGGCTCGTTTCTGGGCTCAACATCCTTCGCTTGGAGAGCATTCAAGATGCTCGCATTCAACCATACTCAAAGCTCACTCTGACTCATACGCAATCACTCGCATTAGGGGTCACTCGTCTTCGTCGGCCCTGTCGCCCACGTGGACGCGCTATTGTAGTCGACCGCTCATGAACAGACGCTCACCACGGCATGACATAAAACATGAGATGCACATATGGGGAGCTCCACGCAGTGAGTAATTGTGTGTTTTTATTCGTGTGTCCCAGGGCCTCTTCAATTCTACCGTCCGGAGCTTCTGCTTAGCGTGCCGAGGCGGCGGCCCCAGCGACATGCCGTGCCCTGCGAGCAGACAGCGTGTCACTCGGCTCCGCGAGGCGGGAGGCTGCCGGGAAAGTCTCGGGACGCTGACACTGAAGGGGCCCTGGCACACACAAATAAATACACTCGAATAAAACGATTCCCCATATTTTCCCATATTTTCTAAGTTTCTGTCTTCCCCCCCCAATGCCCATATTTTCCGGGGAATCGACGATTAATTGTGTCCGTGTGTTTCTTCCCCTCCTGAAACACTTGGGAATGGAAACGTGGCTAGCGCGTCGCGCCGAAGCGTGGTGCGCCAGCACCGGCGGAACGACACAGTACTCAAACATTCCTGACCGTAATATCCCTGGGGAGGCCAAAAGGTACCGATGCCGCTGCTCCATGGACCTCTCCCGAGGTGCGTTCCGACCAGAATCTCGATGCGAATCCAGCGGTGGCGACGAGGGCCGCCCAGGAGGCCCAAAAATGGGAAAACGAGGCAAGGGTAGAGGTATGGGTGCCTCTTCCTCCTCAGAATTCCTCCCTCCTCGTTCGGTTCTCTCTCGGGGATCTTCTGACCTGGGTCAATCCAGACCCGGGTCAGCAGGAAACCAAAAAACTACAACGCAAGAAACAACAAAAACTGCAACGCAGGTCTTCGCAAACCCGGGTCAGCCAACATGCGCGGCCGCCTCGCGGCTCGCCAACCCGGGTCAGCCACAGGGGGTCTTCGCAGGATCCTGCAGGATCTGGTGCCCTGGCTGACCCCCCTTTGCATTGACCCCCGTCTCTTGAGCCCCGACCCTCCCTGCTCCACCCGTTTTCCGTCCCGGCCCCGCTCTTGCTCGCGCGCCCGTGGTCGTCGGCCTCGCCAGTTGGTCGTCGTCGCTAACTATTCCGTCGACGCTCGTCGGCCGCTGAACAGTCTTCGGCAGCGTCGGGAACGCCCCAGGCAACGGCGGCACTGGCCGGAGGCCACGACAATATTCCTCCCTCCTCGCTCGGCTCCCTTCGGGCGCTTGCGGGACTGGGTTCAGCGGGACCTGGACACCTGGACTAGTGAAGTGTACCGGGGGGGGGCCCCCACCCCCGCCCTGTTCCACTAGCCGGAACTGCGGTCACGAGAAAAGCACCAGCTTGGAGGCCTGGAAATTGGCACCAACACCAGCATAGGGGTTGCCTCCACATGGGAAAGATGATCCTAGATTTCGGTATTGGTGGTAATATTTCGGTCACCTTGGAAGCCA